CTGGTTGAGTACATCCTGAAGTAATTATGTTCTCAAAAGGTCTTTGAGGGGTAGAATTATTAAGCTTTTACGTATTTGGTACATCTTTATTTTGCTTTCGAACTGCATTAATGTGGCCGAATTGAGAAATCCCATTCCACAAGTACTTTGTGCTCCAGAGAATGTGAGACATCCACTGTCTCAACCTGACGGATGCTCAAGTGCACTTAGGGTCTTTCTCCGCTCTTTGCTGGGTTCATTCATGTGCTCAACGCTCAGGGGGCATTCACAACCTAAAATCCATTCTCAAAGCGGAAATAGGAGATGAGTTCCTCCCTACAATCCATTCTTTTTCTCCTTTTGAAATTTCCATTATTAGGCAGGTGTTGGCATTTCCCAGTCGATCCGTTGTATCCCGTACCAGCTTTTACGCTTGTGCCTTATGTTTTTTTGTGTGCTTCACTGAACAGTATTGAAAGTACCTACGTGTCTGAAAGAGTGCTATTTCAACGCCAAGTTCCCCTTGCTTTTAGCCCAGTTATTTATGGAATTTATGGCATCCTCAGGGTTGTGTAAAGATCCGGGAGCCAGGAGGGTGGAGGGCAAAAAAAGCATCACTCAGTGTTGCTACAAATAGATGCTGGTATCATGTCCTTGAATTCTTTTGTTCAGTTCTGCTTGTTTTCTCAAAATAAATCCCTGGTCTTGGAGTTGAGTGTCACGAATACAATTTGTTTGAAGCTCCGAGCACGTGCTCCTGGGTTTGTTTCTGTGCAGAAAGATGACTCCACTCTGCATTTGGACCCTACAGCGGACAAAAGTAGAGTGGTGGTCCCCATACTCACACCCTTGGTCCCTCGCGGTCACCTGTCACTGTCTGTCTTCTGGACCACAGGGCACCGTTCCTCAGCTCTCCCGACGCCTGCAAACTGTGTCATGGTTCTGCAACACTGGACCTTCCCAGGGTTACTGAACGTTTCTGAATATTTTACGGCTCATCTTCGGTGGACCAGAAGACTGCCAGAAAGTCAGTGTGGACAGCTTGTACCGACTCCGAGGAGACGGGAACAGAGGAGGGAATCACATGGGAGTCATGGGGATGCTTTGGGCTCTTGGAGGACTGTT